CCCCCAATGAGGCTGCACACAAGATCAGATCTGGGACTGGATCTGCATTTCAGCAGTTCATGGGTGTACCAGCTGAGCTAGGCTCTTGGGTACCTCTGCCAGTCCCGGAGCCAGTGCCTGGGCCACGTCCCAACTACAACAAAGGGGTAAAATAATAATAATAATAAAAATAAAATAAATAATAATAAAGTAAAACAGCAGAAAGGGGAGGGATTCCAAATGGGCAGCTGAACACAGTCAATGCTGCTGCAACCACCGCCCTTCCCCGATGTGCCCAAGCACAATTTTCTCGTTCCTTTGAGTCTCAACAGGGCATGGCCACACTCAGACCTCCCACAGCAAATAGTGGGACCGGGCGATATGCCCCCTCAAATGGACGGCGCTGAAGTGTTGCGCCCTATGCTCGGTCGTTGTGGCTATTCCGATGCCGCAACGAGTAGGAGGGCACAAGGTCCGCCGCAAAGTCTGCAGCATGAACCCAAGTGAGAACAGGTCCCACTGCAGATCTTGGTGGTGCTTAGCAATTTTTCAAGTGAGAGCCTTGAGACCGCAGAGACGGGTTCCATGTGATGAGCCGCTGCAGCGGCCTCTGCCCTAAAGCGCCCGTCCCTACTGCGCCCAGGCACGGTTCACCACCTTTTGGGTCCCAACAGACATGCTCAGGGCATACTCACACTGCAGGCCCCCACGGCCATGCTCACACCGCAACCCCAAACCTGCAAAAATATGCAGATTTGGGATGGGCAAATTTGGGGTCTTCCGCATGGTTCAGGTCACACACTACTGCCCCTTTTCAGATGGGACACGACCCTGGTCATCTTCAACAATGACAAAATGGTCCTTTGCTGGTCCCACGACACCATCCACAAGTCGTGCAAGAGCTGGTGACCGCGAATTCCCTTGTCCCGCGGCCACACAGGCTGCCTGACAGAAGGGACACAAATGGTACATTTAGGCCCTTGGCGAATCTGTGTGACTGGTCATGCGCCTCACGGCCCCGACAGCATACTCCCACTCAACCCTTTTCACAACAGACCGGGGTTGGCGGATGGTGCACCCGCGGAGGGTCCCCGCCGCTCAAGTTTCCTCCGCCTCGTGGGCGAACCCAACAGGCTCCCATGTTTGTTGAACTCCTCAGCCCGCGGTTTCAACAGTTCATGGGCGTATCAATTGAACCACGCCCGCTGGTCCCCGCACACAACTCCGGTACCAGCGCTGTCGCCGTGCCCCGGGACCGACAAATAAAAATAAAGGTAAAAATAAAATACGAACGTCGGAATCCGGTGCTCTAGGGAAGGGAGACCGTCAGTACCACTCTCAGTTCCGCCTGTCGGGCCTACAGATGGGCCGGCAACAAAACCAAGGGGGATAGCCCCGCCAGGCCCTCAACCCCTCGACATCTTCAGCCACCCTGATATTCCATCGCCGCCAGTCGTCGCCCTCGATCCCTGTACTGTCGTTTTGAAAGTCCACTGCCGTTACCAATAGTGCTAGTACCCAAGGCTGAGGCAGACTACGACAAAATTCAATACAAGTTGTTGCCGCGCGACACGCGGGCCTACGGACCAAGCTCACGACTGTCGACCTATGGCGCCCACCACTCATAAGGTCTGGCTCTGTCCATGACTGTCGTCCTCCCGCATCTACCGCGCGGAGGTCACCGCTCACATTCTATTTCCTCCCGCATGCTCCAACCAGCGCCTGAAAGCAAATATTATTGTCTGATGACGTCTCCCGTATGAGCGCATACGCACCATGATCACCTCAACATAGAGAAAACTCCTCCTAACTTTTAATCAAAATCACAATTTTGTCGGCGGAAGCGCCAACTCTATAACATCAAAAGAAGAATTATCACGCACGCCTCGAAATTGCGCGCCCACACACTCTCTACTTTTACTCAACCGTTTAAGTCAGCGTGAACAAAACGCAACTGTGACTCGCGCAGTACACTCAAATGTCGAACAAAACTTATCTTCTGTCACTCGCAAAAACCACGGCGGATACCCTTGTAAGGGTATTCGCGCAGACATCGTGCCTCGCGTAGGCCCTATCCTGTCGTAGAGGCTCGCGAGAGGTATGGCTGGCGCACTCAGCCAGAGCGGCTTGTGGAAACTCCATGATGTATATTCACGACGAGGATTAAAACCAACTCCTGCGTGATGCGGCCGGGAGGGTCCCGCGCTGCCCTGTGCGGTGCCGGACTGGTGCGCTCGACACCTCCCTCAATCCTCGTTTGCGTTCCTTCTTCTTTCTCACATGCTTCTGCCACTGTTCAATGGCCAGATTCGTCCTTCTCCCTCCCCTCTCTATGTCGCAGACTCCGACCTCTTTTCGTCTGCTCGTTACAACTCCTCAACGCCCGTCTCCTTCGCTCTTCGTCCTCAAGCCATACCTTGTATGCACCCGACACGACTTCACATCCGGATTTATCCACTTCAAGTCTCCTTCGCTCTTCGTCCTCAAGTCCTAAATGGATTCCTCAATCGTCCTCTCCCCTTTGTCCTAAACAAACGCCGGTTTCTCCTTAGGTGTCTCTAGTCTCTACCCTGTAAGCAGGATCATAACCAGGGACGCGGGCCCGAACCGAGACCTTTGAAGACATTATTGTCTCCCTCCAACAAATTTTGCAATCAAACACATATATATACACAATTCTCATCATAAACTCTTCCTGCAGTCTAGTACAGGAAGGTGAGGTCTCCATCCTGGCCCACCATAGTCTGGGTGATCGTGCCAGATCTACGGCCCACCGCGTTTGTTATTTCAGCGGTAGTGCCCTCGCAGGTTGCGCCACGATATACTTTTTTCTGATAAGCATTCAATCAGGACTCAAAAAGACTCGACTCTTATCCCACGCCATCCCGCGGCAGGTATAACCCTCCTGGGTGGCCACACCTCTTTAAGTTTTTACCCCTTCTGGCGAGACGTGGGCCCGTTGTTAAGGTTACGCCGATCAACAGCCGACACTAGGGGTTGCGCCCTAGTGATGCTAAACTTTACCGTTAGCTTGGTATTTTCATAAATGCCCCAAGATCAGCTCAAGTATCTGGACGGTGTGTCGCAACAATACAGGCCTACTGCGGGACTACGCAGAGGTCTGTCACACATAAAAGGTATTTACCAGTCCTCTGTGGGACAATACAGAGAAACACAGCAATCTCTCCACTTTCACAAAACAAAAGTCACCGCCAGGTTCACAAGGTCATGACCTCCTTACTGGATCAGAGCAAGAAGGTCACCTCTCAGTGACATCTCCCAATGAAGTTTTTTGCGACTTTCTCAAAAATTACAATAATGGCCAAACAAAAACGTGGTCCTTCTCGTTAGGCTTTATTATTCAAAATCAACCTACCATGTCATTGAATGTATTCACCCCCTTTTCATACGAAGGAGATCTCTCTCAATAGGTTTTCCTGTCGTCCCTTCTCTTTCTAGGATGAACTCCTATGCGACCTTTTAACACATCTCCCCTTTCTGAAGATGAGTCTTCCAACAAACAAAAAACTGCATTTCCCACAAAAAGGCGTCTTAACCATAAACTACTTAAACCAAGAGACCAACTTATGGGTCCTCTACCACAACTCAACAATAAACATCCGGCATGGTAAGCATTCGAGTCTCAAAGACTCATAGATTCCTTAGAATTCTCACTTTTTTTACAAAAACAGACTGCACTTCCTCTCCTTACACCCGGCCCTATCACCTGCCCGCGGACAGATCGCACGAGTATACCGAAGAGTGGGCAGTTCACATCCATTCACATTTACAAAATACAAAGCATACAAGATGTTCCTCATACATCTTTCACACAAAACCATCATACATCAAGACAAAACCACACATGTGAGAGTGATTGTGATCGTCATATACAAAGAGTAGTCTCAAATAGTATTCAACTCAAGGACACACTCAGGGATGAGATATCTCATTCAAAAACGTACACAATAATTTTGTTTCACGAACTACTTAAAACAACTTAAATCACCCTCAATATGGTACATGGTCAACCGTACAAAAAAATCACTAAAACAAGCCAAAAATCCCTCTATCAATGTCAAAAAGACAACCTCATTACATACGTGCTATTTCATATGGTCCCAATCTCGATGGACAACCTACGCTGTAATCCCCCATATGTATACTCAACAGCGTAGGTACCCAAACCTCCTAACAATGTTAAAACGAAAAATCAAATAAAAAACATGTGTCCAACGTGTAAAACTAGTTCATCTTATCCTCACCAGAACATACCCTAGCAGCTGCTCATACCTAGGCGACCAGTCCCTACTCACTCATCTCCTCCTGGTTCTGCCTGTACAGTTGAGCTCCACCCCCATCTGCAGACCGCTCTACTACTCTACTGTGTCTATCATACATCATTCCACCACTTTCTGTGACCTTCCCTTCGTCCAAGTTCTTTAAGAACTTAGGACACTGCAAAGCCCTTTGCTCCTCGCTCTTGCAGAAGAAGCAAGATGAGTCACCTGACCTCCGACCTCTCTTCTTTTTCTTTTCAGATTCTGGCAATAATGGCATCTCGCTTGCCTCCCTGGCGACCTCATGACACTGGGGCATATCCATAGGCTCCTCTGGTTCTGTCTCCAACTCCTGAGTACGAGGCTCTGGTCCTATTCCAATCCCCTCGAGTCTGTACTCAGGTGTATCCAACCTCTGAGGCCTGCCCTCGATGACGTCCTCTACCGTAATCCCCATCTCTCTCTCAGGAGGCTCCTCCATCCTCTGCTCAGGTGAAAATAGACTCGCCTCTTCCTGCATAGAGTGAACTGCCTCGAGAAGCACATCCATAGACCCCTCTGCTGAGCCCTGAACCGGCTCGCTGTTGGTCGTCTGCAGCCCCTCCTCAACTGATAATGGCATAGTTGCTATCGTGGGGTCTACAACTATTATGGGCAGTGTGGCGAGTTCAGTAGGGGCTCTGAACTCAAAGACCTCTCTCCCTGCCTTCCTTTTGGCCTTTGACTCCTCAGGCTCCAGAATAAGTCTTCCCATAGGCGGCTCGTGGGGGAGTCCAATTGTGGATGGCGGTCCTGATAAGTCATGCGCTGACTCTCTCTGATTACCACGTTGGCTACTCCCTGCCCTATTCACCACCTCGACAGGCTCCTCTCTGTCAGTCCTGCCAGCCCCGTCTCGAGGCTGCCGCCTCAAGTCCATGATGATGACAGCTTGACTAGCCACTAATGCCCGAGCTCTCGGACCTCAGCCTCAACCGCCTCCAGACGTACTCCATGGCCCACTTCCTTCATCTTCTTCCCGGCCAGATCAGCTTCTAACATCAGATACCTATCGAAAGATGTTTTGGCCAGGAAGCGGATTTTTCGGTCCAAGTATTCATCCGCCCTCCTTGAAGTCCCGACTTCTACCCTTTCTGGAGCCGTCAATCCCTCGCCATGCTGGTCAAGGAACTCATCCCACATCTCCTTAATTTTGTATGGCTTAGGTGGTGGTGGTTGATCTGGGAGTGCCCTTGCCTCCTCTAACCTCTGTCTTTCCTGCCAGATTTTCTCCAAACATTTCCCAACTTTGGCCCGTTTTTCCTCAGCCGTCTCCCCTGCTGGTACTCTCTCCCTCGTGCAATGGTCGGCTCTCCCCGGAACCTCAGCTCCCATCTCTCTCTCTGCCTGGCGTGGTTCCTGGGGTGGCTCCATAGGTACGGGCTCCTCCAGGTCAGGGTGTTCTAGGGTGTGTGCAACCAGATGTCTGTCAATCATAGCAAGGGCCTCTCTCCTCCGGTCGGCTCTCTCTCTCTCCATCTCTACCGTCACTCCTGGCGATGGGACCATCTCTGGTGGTGGTAGTGGGGTCTCCTCCTGCCGCGATTCCTCCTCTCTGTCGTGTGCGCCCTCTGGCGTACTCCCCAGTCTCAACCCCGCAGCCGGCGTCTGAGGAGGAGTATCCTCCTCAACCTCTATCACCTCCTCTATAGCATGTCCCCTCTCAGTACTCAGCCTTATCTCTCACTCAGGGTTCTGGGTCTCCTCTCGTGGTACCTTCTCTGCCGGCTCAACGCGCCCCTCGCTCACCGGTGGTACTCTCCACTGTAAGACATCTAAATGTGCCTCTAACTCCTGCGGGGGCTTTCTAGATGCTGGTATTTCCTCTCGTGCGTGCTGGGGAGATCCTCCCAATCCTCCCTCGGTAAAGCGATGGAACTCCACCGGCCTCAAACCGCACTCAGGATATGCCCCTCGCCCCTCGGTCTCAGGCATCAAGTCCTCCTCTCGTTTGGCGAGTGCCTTTCGTCCCCCGTGGGATGGCATGGCCCCTCTGGGCTCAGGGTCCCTTTGCCTCTTGCTCCTCTGGCGTCTCTCAACTCTAGGCTGAGGTGGCTCTGGTCATCGAAATGTCTCCCTCAAATGTGCCCTGCAACCCTCCCAATCTCGAGCCATGTCTCTGACCTGCCTGGCTAAGGGTTTCTCTGCCTTTCTGGTCCATAGGGGTAACGTCCTTGCCCACTCATCCCTTAGTATGCCCTGACCGTGCATGAACTGCTGGAAGGCGGGGATAAAATCCTCCACATTCCCGATCTCCAAGTGGATCGGCTTACCATCAGGCCTTACAGGCGATGGTCGTAACTCCTGCATCCTCGTTTCCACCTCTGGCCATGTCCCCGCCTCCCTGCGGATCCGTGCGATGGGCTCCTCAAATTTGCCAGCTCCTGTCAGTCTCTCAATCGTCTGAGTCATGGTCCAACCCATGTGCTCCGCATACCCAAAAAAATCGTCCAAAAACAACTTTATGTCCCGCTCATCGTATACGGGTTTGTCCTCCCGATGGTGAGACCCATGTCGCTCATAACCTCCTGATGCTCCCAATGGTCTCCGTGGCGGCCGCGTCTCCCTCCCTCCCCTTGGCATGGCTGTCTTCGCAAAGTCAGACCTGCACAACAGACGAAGGAGACAACAGGCACACGTTGGGGTAAGCAAATAGGTGGTAATAAAACAAGCTCAGGTCAGACCAAACACATACATCATGCACTCCTATCCAATCTACACATCCTATCATCCTACTCTAAAGAAGTTAGATTGTCTATCTCACCCCTTTTCTTGCCAAGTTGCCACAGACTTCTTCAGTCTCGTTCCTGACACCCAGTCATTCCATTCTGTTTCATCCAACTCCTCAATTTGGTATGCGCCGAAATCTCCACACCGCACAATCCGCTAGGGTCCTAACCATCTCTTGTCAAGTTTCCTGGACCACTGCTTCTCCAAGGACGAGTCGTATAGGAGTACGATGTCTCCAACTGTCAAAGGTACCTTTCGTAATCGCGCCAACTGGTCCCAACGAGCCTTATCCTCCATATGGCTCCTCTCCACTTGGTTGGACGCCTCCTGAATTCTTTCCTCTATCGCACCCACCTGCCGTGCTCGAATATCGAGCAATTCCTCAAAAGACAGGTTGACCTCCAAGTCCTGACACCTCCAAGTCTTTAGGAAGCTCTCAATTGGGAAGGTCGTGTGTCTCCCATATCATAGCGTGGCTGGTGCGTACTTAGTGGTCCGTTTTACCATAATATTATCGACAAAGAAGGCAGCCTTCAGGTATCTTGGCTACTAATTAGGTCTACCTTCAGTCCACTTGGCCAGAAGGTTCGTAATGGTGCTATGTCCTCTCTCAACTGGGGCGTTTGCCTGGGGGTGTGCAGCCGTGGTGTAATTGGCTACCACGACGTACCTTGACAACATCTCTGGCACCTCCTGGCAGGTAAACTCCGACTCTCTATCCATCACGAATTCTCTGACAAAGGGATAACGCAAGTAGTGCTCCTCGATGCAGCTTACCAAAACTGATCCGATTTTTATACGTATGGTTCATCCATCTACAAAGCCAGAAAGGTTATCCCGTGCATCGAAGATGTAATTGTAGCCATGATCCCCGAGTGGCCTGAAGAGTAAGTCGAGATGTACTATGGCCCCTACTTCCCTTTCTAGCCTTGGATGCAGCGGCTCTCCTGGCCTCAGAGGAGATCGTTCTTGACAAGGTACGCAGGAACGGCAGAATTTGCTAACAATTTTCATCATCTCATCCCAGTAATATAACTCGCTTATCTTGGCATACGTGGCACTAGCTCCTCGGTGTCCTCCCGCAATGCCATCAGATAGCGCAGCTATAATATCAATCTGACGATTTTTGCTACACACGACTCTTATAGAATTTCTCACTTGCCTCCTTACAAAAAAATGACCATCTCTTACTAAATAGAGATGCCTCATCTTTTGGACCCTTTCACTTGCATCCCTATCCCGTGTTTCACACGATAAAAGAAGTCCCAGCTCTAGGTAGATTCCATCATACTCCTCTGCGCGGAATGCTTCTTTGATCTCCCCCTCCTCAAACTCGTCATCCTGGTTTTCTGGCACTGGTTCTTTATTCTCAGCTGGATTCAACGAGCATATCTGATCAAAGTTTCCCAGCAGAAGTGTATTGACGAGGAGATGCATCCCTCCTATCAATTCCTCGTACCTCTCTACCCGATCTGGTCCTTCCTCCATAGGTCTCACCTCCTCCACCAGACTATGTGTGCCCGCCAGCACCAACTTCATCATCCATTGGACATCTTTGCTGCCCCATGGATCTTCCTCTTCAAAAGGCTTAAGTACCAGCTCTGCCTTCTGTTCATACCCGTTTGGCGCATGCCAGATGGGATGTCCAACGCAGCTAGGCACTTGTGGGGACCACTCATTAATGTGAAGGCGGATGTCCTCTTCCTGATCTAGGAAGCTATCAACTGGGGGTGTGTCCTCTACTGCCTCTCCCTCTTGCTTATCCCAGTTGATACGACTCAGCCCGTCCTCCTGATTCTTGTTCCCAGGAATCCGTTCTAACTCAAAGTTAAACATCCAGATGTACGCTAACCACCTGACAACAGTTGGATATGTCGGAACATAATTCATCAAGGAATAGGTCAGAGCAGTCGGGTTCACTCTCAATATAAATCTTCTGCCAAAGATATAGTTCCGAAAAATTCGTAGATAGTGAAGGACAGCGAGAGTCTCCCTCTTGAACTGAGAGTAATTTCTCTCAGTCGTACAGAGAGTTCGGCTCTCGAATCGCAGCAGTCTCTCCTTTCCTTCAATATCTGCCTGAATCAGGACTCCACCTAAGACAGTCGGTCCAACGTCTGTCTCAACAATAAATGGTCTTGTTTTCGTGGCATCATAGTCTGACGCTCCCAATACCAACCTCCTTTCTCGGAATTCTTCCTTCATTCATGTCACCGCTCTTTCCTGCTCTTCACCCCAAATCCATTTTTTATCCTGACGAACCAACTTTCTCAAGTGCTCAGTCTTTGCGGCGAAATTCTTGTCGAGGAAGCTCCTAACATCAGTTATTGGGTGGAATGGTACTGACCACTCAATAATCTTGTTTGTCTTTTTTACATCCGGTCGACGGCCTTTCTCACTACAGACGAACCCCAACAGAAAAATTTCCACGAGAAATTAAAGTTGAAAAAACATTCAAAAAAAAAAGAATCCTTCCATAAAAAAAAAATCCTTCATATTTATAAATTATCATTCCAATGTTCGTTCAATTCTAAAATTTTCAGTTTTATTTGATAAGTTTTCATCTAAATATATGAGTTTTCCCTTCCAACTACATCTATTTGTTTAAGATGGAATGAAAGTCTGGACGAGTTTATGAAATGTTTTAATTAAATTTTCATTCTACTTCGACAAATATCTTCTAATCTAGATTGGATTAACCTACTTATGACTGAAAATCCTTACTTAGAATGACAGTCCAATTAAAACGTTTTATGAACTCATCCAGACTTTCATTCCATCTCTAGCTTGCAGTCCAAATAAGAAGGGATACTCTATTTTTGGAATGAAAGTTTGCAAATAAGATGAAAATTTTTAAAATTGGAATGACATTTTTTAGGATGGAATGAAAAATTGAAATTTAGATTGTAATTTTACTATAGAATGATTATTTAATTCTGGAAAAAAATTTCGTTGCCCAAGATGGTAACTTCCCTCATGCAGTGTCTGGATTTGACCCTACTTGCAGTGAGGTTATGCTCTTCAAGCAGATTCAGAACTTTATCAACTTCAGACAAAACGCCTCACTTCCGACAAGACTTCGTCATTCTCTATCACTGTTGGCCCCTTCACTGCCAACTCATCGATATACGGCTGAGTAATATGCGGACTGACTGACTGGATGGCCCGAATCATAGCCCACTGAACCATTGCTACTGCATTTGTCCACACTTGTGGAGCCACATTCATATGGATCAGCCCTCGAGGTGTGTGCATTGTCGTTACCGGCCTGTTTGGCGGATAGACCAGAAACTGCTCATATCCATAGTGAAGGTCTATGAGCGAAATTATAGGCCTTCCAGCGCAGGATTCTGACAGCGCGTCCGCATTTGGCAATCCCCCCGCATCTCGCACAGTCACCGCATTCAGCCGCTGCAGATCTTGTACTCATCGCAGCGTCCCATTAGGTTTAATGAAACAAAACCATGGGGATGCGTATGGCCCACTTGAGTAATCAGCGACATGCGTATGTATCTTGTCATCGAGGTAATCTACCACCTTCTTTTCCTCGTCACGATTAGGATATCACGCCCCTCTCAAGTTTCATGGCTCATGCGACACGGTATGGATGCGGATCATAAGAATCTTGTCTATATCTAACCTGCCACGCTCCTCATCGCTAAACGTATAGACGCGATGCCTTTTCTTCATTAATTCTACCATTAACGCTCTTTTCTGGGGCAGTAGGAAGTCAGGCTCTTTTAACAGAATCATGCTCAGATGGACACTTGGTACCAGGCACCACGATAATCTCTCCTTCAGTCCATCACGGAGCTTAGGGCCTGACGCCAAAATCTCCTTCAGGCTCATCAGGTCGTTGTGGCCCTCCAACAACCTATCAATTACCTTTTCCACGTCAAATCCTTCTTCCAGTCGAACCACATATTTCTTTTTCTTTGCTGGCACATCGAGCAAAATCGGCTCGGCTTCTTCCCAGGCTTCTCTCTTCCTAGCCCTCTGCTACACCCTCTGGTCTTCTTCCTGGCGCAGCCTTTCGTCCTCTTCTTCCTCCTCATCATCATCCTCCACCTTCACGGCTTCCTTTCTCTTCTCTGGCGCTGATTCTTGTCGTGGGGGTTTCTGGCTTGCACTGGCCTTGGCCTGACCTCGAGTGCGAGCAGCTTATGTCAGTCTTCCTTGAGCCGTAGGGGGTCTGGTCAACATCCTAGACCGAGGGCCTGAACCCACGGTAGTTACTCCGGGTCGCCCGGGCATCGACTCTGGGTCGGACTCGTAGAGGAAGATACGAGCCCTCCATTCCTTCACTCCTTCACAAAGGTCCACCAACTTCTGTTGGTACCTCCCCATCTTCGCCAATAGGTCTTCCATCTTTCCTAACTGGTCTGATGCGGGCTCTACTTTCTCTCCTTCATTTTCCTCCTCGGACTCAACGACTATGGGTTCTTCCTTTTATATCTCATGTCTGTAGCCTCTGAGTCACTTCCTCATCACTTTCCACTTCTTCCACCCTAATGGGCGGGTCATCCTTCTCCTGCCACAATCTGAACGTGGCAGGCGGCGCTTGCCGTGGAGCTACCCTTCTTTGGGCTTCCGCCCTTACTCCGCCAGGGATCTTCGCCAGGGATCTTCCTGTCAATATAATCCCCGAACTGATCGTATATATCGTCGTGCATATTGGAGTAGATCAGTCTCACTCTTTCATCTTCCCGCCTAGTATTAAAGAACCATATGGTATGACCTTGTTTGTCACAATGCTCGCATATGGCGGTTCTCCAATCAAAACGGGTCCTCCCGCTTCCCTGACTTCCTCGATTTCCCTGGCCTTGGTAGCCTTGGCTATCTCATTGACCTCCTCGGTCACCGCCATTTTTGCCACGTCCTCTTCCACCGCCTCTCCCTCTATCCCCCTGGTTACCCTGGCCTTGATTACCTCCACTAGCCACACTACCTTGTGAACTAGGTGCGGGCGATGGAGGCGGTGCCATGGGTTGGGCCTGAGCGGCGGGATAACTTGGAGGCGGCATGCTTACTTAGGGCCCAGCGCATGGTACCATTTGCCCAGGCGGAGCCGGATTCCCCCATGGTACAAAGGTGTTGTACATAGGCCATGGCCACTGCCAGAATGGAGGTACCGCCGCTTGCGAGGGTCCCGCACTACTTGACGGAATCGACGTACTTGGCGGTGCGACTACCACTGCTTGGGGCACCTCCCCTTCTCCTGAGCCTTGCCTCCCCTGGGTTAAGTTGCGCTGCTTGCGTAGTGCCTTCGAAAGGTGTTGAGGCACCGACTCTTCTTCTACTCCTCTTGAACGGCTTCCTCTACCACTTGATCCTTTCCTTTCCCCTGGATTGCCGTCACTACTTTCTTCTGTATTACTGCATTTGTTCCATAGCCCAATTCTGCAAGTACGTCGGTGATAATCCTTCGTACTCCTGGGGTCCTAGACGCTGTAGCATCCATTTCCATTCTCTTACGCATTTGCAGGCGCATCTAATATTGTTCCACCTGGTCCAGACTTCCCTCTGCCACACCTTTATCAATAGTGGCCCAGGTGAGTTTCTCGCTTCCTCCTCCATGGCTTGTTAGTTTTGCAGCAGCTCACTATAGGTTTTCATTTGCTTGCCTTTCGAGGAGGTAGTAGGAATAGGTGAGCCCCGACAAATCCACCCATGATCCTGCGAGGGGTGGTTGCAAAGTCAGTGGCCCTCGAAGACCGATGCTGGAGCAACGCTGGCCGGAGCCGGAGCCAGGTGGCGCAACTCTGTGACCTAGCTTAGTGGGGGCGTGAGGCCTGGTAGAGAGCTGGGGGGCTGTTTGCGGGGGCAGTCTCAGTGGTCATCGGGGGTCGTAACGGGAGCGATGCTGGCCGGTGCTGGAGCAAGGTGGTGCAACTCTGTAACCTAACTTGATGGGAGCATGAGGCCCGGAAGAGCTTCGGTTCGTGCGGATTCTAGCCATGTCGGTGGTGGTTGTAGGTGGATTGAGTAAAGTTCACCTATTCGTAGGACCTCTTTGGTAGGCTATTGCAGGAGTACTTGATATTCAGGATCTTTCTCCTGCTTTTGAATTTTATCGTGTTTATAGATGGTTGGGTAGGTTGCATAGTGATCATCTTTAGCCGAAGCCGGGTAACGGTCCCGGTATCTCAAAGTTTTCTGTAAAATTTTCTCAATATGTTTTTGAATGGGACGCTGGGCCCGGTTCCCAGCACGTGTTGCTCCCCACGAATAGATTGGAGCAAGTCCCAAAAAAAAAAAAAAAAAAAAAAAAAAAAAAAAAGTTTTGCAGCCTCCGAGGCGGTGAGCAACCCTAAAAAGATAGCGCATTGTGCCTCCTCTGAAATGACATTAACCTTCCTCGCCTTTTTCTTAAATTCCTGCACAAACGTTCCCACCGTGGTGAAGTCGTCTTTGTTCATGACCTTCAAATCCACCGTGGTTAGCAACCCATCGCCTAGCCTATACTTTCTTTGCATCCCATCTTTGAACCTGACCGAGCTACCATTGGCCGCATTTATAACTTTCTCCACCTCCTGGTGGTGGCCATGAAGCACACACTTCAGAATGCGCTGGAACTTCACCGCATCCGATAACCCCACCAAAGCTTGCTCCACGAAGTCGAGCCAATCAGAAACTCGTTCCCCATTAAAATGGAAGGTATCGACCTTGGGGACATTACTTGGCATCCTTTCCCGCTTATCCATAGCCTCAATGAGGTCCTCGAGCATCAGGACCTTCCCCTCGCCATCTGCTATAGCCCCTGACATTTTTGCGGCTATCTTTACTCGACTTTCCCTGTTTTAAGAAAAACACACCACCTCATTCAGCAGTCTGATCCTATCACATTACACACATCAGACCCTTACTATAACTAACCCATGGTCCAGGCCTAACAGGTCCTACCCTATTTCCATTTCCATAGAACTTATCTTAATAAGCCACATTTCCCCTATAGGGCCCCCCTTATGATTTTCTAACCCAAACAATCGATCAGATCAGAGATAAACTTATTACAATAGTAATACTCCTTTATTACCACTAGCCTAGCAAAACGTTACGTATTCCGTCTTTCCTTATATGCCTATTTTTCTCTAAATCTCATACCCGGATGTCGCTCCATCAGGGACAACGGTAGGCTTCCGTTATCCCCGGCAACGGCGTCGCCTATCGAGCGCATCGATCCGGCACCGCACAAGGCAGCGCAAGACCCTCCCGGCCGCGTCACGCAGAAGTTGGTTATAATCCTCGTTGCAAATGCATATAGAGCTTCCGCAAGCCGCTCCGGCCGAGTGCGTCAGCCATACCTCTCGCGAGCCCCTACAACAGGATACGGCCTACGCGAGGCACGACTTACCTCCACCTTACGGGAGGTGTCACCTCCCTTCGGTGGGCGTATCCCCGCTGAGCTACCAGTCCACAGTACGAAAGTTAATCAATTCCAATCGCAAAGGTGAACCAGCCGAGGGTGTTTCTCGTTCGCTGTAGCATGGGGGGTACGCGCGGTATTACGCCTCTATCGGACCCGTACGCGAACCGACGGACGCATCCTACACGCCACGCGTACACCGCTATAAAGAACATAAAAATAAATACATGTACACACTTACGCACATATACAAAACGACACTGGACAAACAATGCGGCAACCCTCCTAGTCCCTTAGTGATCATCCCATAACTTTTCGATGCGGAAATCGGATGAGCGACGCGAGCGAGACTTAGTATAAGACCGCGCGGGCAGAGGGCCTATTCATATCGACTAGCAATGCAATCATACGCAAGCAGCCGCAATGATGGCGTACTATGTAGTGCCCATAATCAAGCGGTCCTTCGTGGATCCGAGTACCGCTTATGACACTCAAGTGTCAGACTCGAAGTATCGTGAGGGCTTGCCTCTTCACGATATTGCACGGCTGAAGGAATAGCCGTGCGGCCGCCGCGGCATCTCCGGCCTTTAGGTTTAGTGTCTTGGCAGGCAGGGTAAATAGGCTCTGCACGGGGGGAGATTCCTTCCCTGCAGAGTCTAGGACCTGGATGTCCTAGACAAGGACCTCGAATCCAGACCCAGGACCAACGTCCGACTAAGAAATCCATAAGAAGTATTTAACAATAAACCGGGGTTTTCTTTCTCTTTTCGATCTCAATCCTCATTTAACCTTTAAGCGTAGGCCCATCAGACCACACGACCACCCTATATAGGAACACATACATATATATATATATATATATATATATATATATATATAGGGGAATACGTATGTGACGATCACTTCTCACAGTCACAGTGGGACTCCTCACATCCATATATATGTGTGTGATCGCAGGCAGTTAAATCCAAAATCTGAATCGCAGAACATACCTGCAATCACATCAAAGAGTCAAGCAAGAGTCCACGCACTACACCGAGTCAACTCCAACCAATCTCTACACTCATACCCTCGCTTTAGCCATGCAAGTCCAAGCCTCTGTCCAACCAACCATAATTAAATACTCAGTACCTTTGTTAAATGGTCATTCAATAAAAGTTCGGATGAAACCTTAATAAAACAATAAATCACCAGGGCTAAAGTTTTTTAGGTTGAGTATTGAGGATGAATGGAGTTGAGTCGTAGACCGACGAATCGGCAACCGACATGTTATCAGTGATAACAGAACGTGATCTTTGTAGGATCAAGTTGAATCTATTTCAGATTCTGAACCAAATGATCAAGAGGACCTGTAACACATGACAGGTCAATCCCCAAGCTAAATCTATGAGTTCAAGTCGAGAGTAACCTGCATATCATGCTTTCGTCAAGAATCATTCTGCTTGGTTAATCCTGAGTCTACCCCTAAGTCAATGCCTATATGAAAAGGTAGGTCTTTGGCAGAATTTCCTCTATGCAGAAGTGATTGCTAGAATCGCCACCTTTCAAAATATAATTTAACTCCTCTAAACTAAGAAAATTTCAGTAGCGCTTCTCGTAGGAAAAGTGTCTTCACAAAATTTATAATACCCTAAATATGAAAATAAAAATCAAACTGTAATTCTAGAAAGCCAAAATTTGTTTAACTCCCTGAATTAGTAAAAATTTGGGCAGCACTTCCTTTAGAAAGGTAGACTTCCTTTATTTATACTAAGTCAAATATGAACTCAGAAACAAGACCTGAGTTCAACTAAGACAAAATTTAGCTAACTCCTTAGTTTTGTAAAAATTTCGGCAACGCTTCCCGTAGAGAAAGTGTTATACTAAGATTTATACAAAGTTAAGTCCATATTCTAAAATGACTTTGACTTTTCAAGGTCTAATTTTGCTTTTCTCCCTGAATTAGTAAAAATTTGGGCAACACTCTCTTTAGAAAAGGAGGTTTTTCAGATTTTTACTAAGCCAGAAAGCTAGAAAAACTGGACCCTGAAAAAGACAAAATCTGACTACTCCTTGGTTTTGTGGGAATTTCGGTAGTGCTTCTTGTAGAGAAAGTGGCTTACCAAGATTTATACAAGACCAAGTATAATAAAAGATCCAAAAAAAATTCAAAAATTTATCTAAGTAAAAAAACTTAGCCCAGAAAATGTAAGAATTTAAACTAACTCTTATGGCTTTAGCACGTGGCGAGCAACTAAAGCAACTACCTATCAAACTGAAATTCAGGCTAAGTTGTAACCTCACCCAGCCACATGCAGGTCAATACCACAAAGGTAAGTACTCTCACCATCCCCAAAGTCGTCTTAACAAACAATAGTTCGTAATTTTTCAATGATTTATGCTCTTATACCCAGCTTACATAAGGCATAAAGCTAGGTCACCCAAACTTATGAGAACCTGCCTAGCTAAGCCAGAATATACACAAACACAGGGAACAACAACTTTTCTCTTCTTTGGGCACATGACTAGGTCACTCTAGTCGCCCTGAACGGTTTAAGTATCCAAATTATATATAATTGTTTGTCCTTAGTCTTATAAGGTAGAATATGACCGGACCAATCAACTTAGATCGAGGTCCAGCCTGCCCCTTCTTACCACATATTTATTCTTAATTAATACTCTCTTCAGTTATGATAAGTTATAGTCAGACCATCCAAACTTATCGAAAAATGTATGACTAGCCTCATCATAAATAATATAATATAAAATATAAACAAGTTTTACTTTTTTTATTCTAGTATGTGTGTGGCTTCATATCAAACCTCCCAAACTTATGGGAACCTGTCCAGTCTGTTACAAAAAATTCTCCCTCAGAATGAAACAAAGAGGGTCAGCCAAGCCATCCAAACTTATGGAAAAATGCTTAGCCCCGAAAAGACAATCACATTCAGCTCTCGCAAGTCAAAGCAACCAGGCCACCCAAACTTATGGGAACCCGTCCTGTCCTTCAGGTAATCCAAAATAAACATAGCATTGAGCCCTCCAAGCTTATGGAGACTCTCCCAACCTTTGGTTGACCCAATTAAACATGCAATACAACCTTCCTCTCATCCTTCCCCCCAGATGCAATCCCACAATATGTTTTCTGTCAAACAATAAAAAACAGAAACTGACATTATACATACATTCCTTTACTTAGTTTGTGTCATGAAAGTCAAACTGAGAGTCAAAGTAAGGGTGCACACAGACGCTTGAGATACAAGAATGGGACAAACTCAACTCCAAGGAGAGGGCCTTAATATCTTCAGTCGTCTGAGGGTCCCACAATGGCAGCCAAAACGCGTTGTAGCCTGGTTAACTGAAGTCAGACCACCGAAGTCAAACCTCTGACGACCTCCCAAATCACAACACTAATACCTTGGCACCCCTCCACATTCGCACCGGCGACCCCTCTATTAACTCAGCCACTCCTTAGAGCTTCATGGCCCAACATGCACTGGCCACAACTCATGATACTGCCTCTAGCTCAGAAACGTCGTCTTCTTCCGCGCTGTAATGTTGCAGCAAGGTAGTCCAATCAACCTTGCTGTAGGCCGAGTGTACACATTTGGTGGTGCAGTCCTCACCCGAGCCTGGCTAGCATTCGCCCCATGGTTGGACTCTCACTACTTCAGTTTGCAAGATCAGGCAACGCATCGACCAACAGGTAGGTCTTCAACTGTGTGACGGCTACCCGATCTTCACGACAGCGCTTGCTTCGATGGTCTGACGAGCTCGATGGGTAACACGGTCTCGACTCCCGCGTCGTTGTCACTGCCCACCGAATGCGCATGGATGAGCGTGACTCTTCAACCAATGGGAGGCCAGATTCATCGAATCGTTGACAACATCTTCCTCACCAGCACTCCCCCTTCACGTGCAACAGGTCTAGTAGCACCCCAGTCAGCAAGCATACCTGCAGTCCCAGCCGTTGTCCTGGCGTACTTCCCCCCTATCGAACGGATCAGTAGGCCGATCAGCAGATAGGCTTGCTCCGCCAATCCGACGGAGTGGTCAACACCATAGCCAGTCTGCAAGCCTTCAGGTCTCTGTGGCTTACTCCTTCGCCCTTCCAACTGTCAGAATAGGCGGTGCGATGGCCAACCGACAAGTATTCAGCCTAGCGGCTTGCCCATAGCTTCTCCGCTTTGACTAACGAAAAAGGAGGAACGCCTCGGCCATAGCAGTACAATCGCACGGATTCCGAAATCAACTCCTTCGGTCGTACAGATTGTAGCCCCTAAGTAAAACTGCGACTATAACAAGCCTTCACTCAGACACATTGAACGCAAATGAACCTATCGTTACAATGTGGGTAAGTTCGCCCCCCTTTCTCCGTAGTCTCTCTTTCCTTCTCTCACTCCACCGCGCACCTCTTTTCCTTACTAACCTTCAACTTGCTAATTTATTCACCAAACCGATACTACTAACAAAATCGCCTTGCCACGAAAACTCGGTCTAGATCTTTCCCCTTCTCGATTTTATCAAGAATCGAGTGACATCTCGATTCTTCATTCTTATCGGTCCTTTCCTCCACCATAGCCTAGCGCACTAACTTTCTCTCCTATCTCTTATTTCACTAATTTTACTATAATTCTAACCTCACTATGCGATTCGCCCGAGGTTAAAACCCCGAACTCGCCTCCTCTCTCACCTGATTCTGATAAAGCTCGAGCGAGTCAGGCTTCCTCGACTGCGCTCAACTCAACTTTCTGCCATTTGTTCAATGTACCCAGCCCGAAATTGCACCCACATTCATTCCCCTCTTCTTTTTCACTTTCTCCCCCGCCCTCCGTCCTCGTCTGCGTTCCTTCTTCTTTCTCACGTGCTTCTGCCACGGTTCAATGGGCAGATTCAGCCTTCTCCCTCCCCTCTCTATGTCGCAAACTCCGACCTCTTTCCTTCCGCTCGTCACAACTCCTTAACGCCCGTCTCCTTCGCTCTTCGTCCTCCATCCATACCTTGTATGCACCCGACGCGACTTCGCGTCCGGATTCATCCATTTCGTCTACCTGCTTTCGTACCGCTTGCCCTTCACCTCGTACCAATACCCGCTGCCTACCCTTATGCTGCCTGATTCCTCCTCTTCTCTCATCTCTAGTTCGCGGTCGAGTGCTCCACTATCTGCCTTGCCAGTTGCCG